AGCTCAGCATTTGACAACTTTTCACACTGGCTCAGTTTGGAAATGGCCATGAAAGTAATTGCTTGTGTGTGCCACCTCCATTGTCATTATAAAAGATGATGGCAGAGGTAAAGATAATTTTGGGTGCACCCAATATTACGAAATAGACTGACGCATGGAATGTTTGTGACATTGTATCCAAAACTAAGACAATATGAACCCAAGTTTTTTAATTCTTTTAGAATATCTCTAAAATTATTTGATGGTGACTGGTCACTTTTAGATTTCATCAATGAATAGATCAGTATCGAAATGATCGTTCTCCATTTCAGCCAACGTGTGTTCACTCTACTCGAAAGCGTGCAATTGAATGTACAACAAAATAGCAGCACATGTATCTCAAAGCATGCACCTGATGACTGCAAAACGCTCATTCTAACCAAAATCTATCAATGCACGTTTGACATGTGCTTGGCCATAAGCACATGTTTGAGTGTGTATATCTATGCAGAACTCTTGGTTTTTTAAAATGTGCATTACCAAAGCATGCGTTTCAAAACACCTAATGTGTACACAGCCTTAGTTCTAAATTATGCTGGTGCAGAAAACAGTGCCAATAGCCAGAAAACTTTGTATTTGTGGTATTTTCTGGTCATAATTATAAATTATGATTGCTTTATTCATAATAACTATTAGTTAATAATGAAAATATGATATTATCCTTTAAACAAAAGAAAACATTCTCAAACTAAATTATAACAACAAATGAAACAAAACTGACAAACATAAAATAACATTTGGATTCAACTTCTTACAAATAATGTATATCATCGTGGCCAACTAATTTTATTTCAGTCACTGTTCAGTCACTTTTTCCTTGCTGGGAGTTACTATTCTCACTTATTTTGAAGTCATTTTCTGTTTCGAGGCCTGATAAAACAATGATTATGAGCAAATAAAACAGCAATTAAAAAGTTCATAACAACAAAAGGAAAGTGGACTGTGGTATTTGAGAAATAGTCTGTATTAGCAGGATTCCATTACAATGAATTATTTTTCTTATAATTTTCCTATAATTTTGACCATATCAGCATCAGTCATCCATAATAATGCAGGATTTGTTATATCGAGCTTTTACTGTATAAAAAAAAGTTCATCATGTTGCATAATATGGAAAGAATAAACCAATCCAAGGATTTTAAAAATTTTTGACAAATGCCAGAAGTCTACCTGCAAATCTGAGAGAGTTGGCAACTTTACTTCCATTTTAACACAGAATATTTTAAAATAAAGTATTTAGTGTATTTAAAGGATCAATGTTATAATTNATTCATGATGATTATGATTATATTGTATATTTACAATATTTGAATTTATTAATTTCATTAATTTCTAATTTTTTGACTTTTCTTTATAAGTTAGTTATCTGGCCTTTATGTTTTATTATTAATGTATTTTAAAAATAAGGAATATAGTCATAATTACTGTGTTTAATCTATGTTACAATGAAATCAAAAACTCAAAAATTGTAATTTTTTTAAGATGACCTGTTTTTACTTTATAAATGTTTTTAGAGATTTTTTCCTTTTAGTTTCAGTTGTCTCCATCTTGACTGTTACTTTCTAGTTTAAAGTTTTTTTTTATTTACATTCTTATCTTTCCTATGTGAAGAGTGAAACTATTTCTTTTTCCTATTAATGTTTTTTGAACTGTTTTGCTACTTTATTTTTCATAGATGCATTTTTTTAAAGGATACTGCTGAACTTTTAAGAATTTGAACTCTGTATCTAGGTCATCTTTATTAGTTGAGAATGTGATAATTCTTCTGATTACTGCTTTAAAGGAAAATAATTTGTATCTATATGGGTCTTTAGTTGTTACAGGAAATCCTCATTAATTCGAACTTGGATAGTTCAAAATCTTGTTAGTTTATAACTGTACTTTTGTCTCAGCCGGGGATATAGATATTTTTATGTTAAGGAATTCAGTTAGTTTGACATATGGCTACTTAAATTTGAAGTGAAAAAACTCTGTCCAAACTGTGATATGCATATGTTAACTTGTTCATTGAGATCAAAGTGCCTCCATACTGTAAGAGAACAACAGATCAAGAACAATTCTAATTTGGTCAATATGGCTTTGCTTGTACAGTAACACATTTTCAGGTGTCACAAATGGATTTTTTTTTTCTCTTACCTCAAAAAATACAGCTGTGTTTTAGGATTGCAATATTAGGCTACAAGTAGCAAATTGAAATATTTTAAGATTTCTAGGCTAACACATTTGTATGACTTACTATTTTTTTGGCCAGTTTAAGAATAATTTGGGCTACATTTCAAGGAATTCTGCTTTACTTTTTATAAAACATATCTGGCGATCTGTGAGGTTCTCACCAGACACATGCTGTTTATCTTTACATTTATACGGTACTATTATTAATTTTTAATTAACAAAAATAGCATTATGTATAGGTATCCATATTCCAATTACTTAATATATTACATCAGTTACATGTCATTTGGCATAATATAAGTGGCTATCTGCCTCCTCCTTGATACTTTGTATTTTTTGCAAATCAAGTTACATATACTAATCATATTTTTCACATTAAATTTTTATATAATGTTGTAATTTTTAATTATTTTGTCTGGTCTCTGTATTTTATTTCTTTTATTCTTAGTTTTCTTGCTTTCAATTTGAATTGTATATCTAAATAACTGATGATCGTATTGTTAATTTTCTCTAATACTATAATTGCTTCTATTGTATTGTTGTTAAGATCTTGGACAAGTTTGTACTTACCTTTCTCTCTGTATAAAATACTTAGATTCATAAACATAATGATATTTATTTATAAGTGCTTTTTAATATTTCTCAATATCAAATTTTATAAAAATGAGCAGTAATGTATTTCAGCAAATATGCTTGATATAAATGTTTTCATAAGAGTTCCTTTTATTTGTCTATAAGAATTGCTTTTAAAATTATTGTAAGAAAAGTACACTGTTCTATAAAGCTCTTTTGCTGTTATTTTTTGTCATTTATCTGCTGTGAACTCCGCAAGGCACGTGGTCTGCGGTTACAGATATACGATAGAAAGAACAAAGGGAAGGACAATGAAAAATCGGTAGACACGTGTGATCAGGCAAACAAAGGTTTATTTTGGTAAAAAAAAAACGCGGTACAATATATATCTCAATAAACAGTCCAACACCCGACAGTTATTGTAACAAATAACGAAATAGCCTGACGTTCCCCTTTCCGTTAACCTTCCTCACGCGAGGCCCCGTTCTTTTTCGACAATTAAATATAGATCCGAAAATAAAAATATTTTGGACGGAGTACCTAAGGGACTTGCAAGGGTTCTGTCGTAGCGGTCCGATTGTGGGCTTCGATGGGGAATCTTCTTCTTTTCGAGTCGCAACTTCCTTTCTTCTACCAACGGTCCACTCTCTTCTCGGTCGCTCTTCTTTCCTTTTTCGTCTGCGGTTCTCTCCCTTTCTTTCTCGAAAAAGTCCAAGAGTCCTTTTCTTACTCCTTACACCCGCTTTTATAACTCCCTCCAACTCCGTCACACTGTCACGGACCAATCAGACGCCGGAAACTTAGCCATCGGCTAACAGGAGGCACCGAGGAAGGAAACGGAAGGGAAACGGTACAAATTATATGCGCGACGCGACATAAACGGAAAACAAACAAAAAAATATATATATAATACAATCATAGCCACGAAGTGCTACACTGCCCTTATTAAATAACATTGAACTCTTTCTGAGGTTGAAAACTTTATTGCTTGTGAATTTTGCTGAATCATTTCAACTAAATTGAGTTTGTTTATTTTAAATATATCACCAGATATTCTTCAAAAATTATTTTTTATTATAACAGGTATCCTTCTTATATCTGATAATTCAATTATTAGAATGTTTTTATCTCTCCATTCTTTGATCTCTTTCAATGGCTATAAAACTTCTTTTTAGTTTTATTTTTGTTCATTGTTTAGTTGTCTAGCTACAACCCAGTTTGATGCTTGTCTAGTGGTTAATTGAAAATGGTTTAGTCTTGTTCAAGTTCTGCACAAAGTTTTATAAAATTTTTTTTTTATCATATTCTTTTCATATGCATTTTTCCGTTTGAAGAAAGCTTTCCAACTGTTTCAGGTTTATAATACCTTTTTGCATCTCAGTTTTTCTTTTTATAAATTTTATTTGAACTTTTTTGTCAAAGTTTATTATAGAAGATCTCTTAATACCATATTTCCTTGATTAAACCCCAAAATTAATATAAATCCTGGGAAGTAAAAGTGTTATTAAAAATAAACTCCAGATTGAAAAGCATAGAGAAACATATTGAAATATAGCATTGTATAGGGTAATGTAGTTTAGAGTGACAGTTAAGGAGTTTAACTAAAATTCTACCTTTTCAAATTGTCTAGAGTCTGACAACACTTTCTATTCCAAAATTCATGGAAACATTGTGATCAAGTTCATAAGTTAAGACCCTAACAGCTGAAGTGTAATTAGAAGAGCTCTGGTTTAAACTTGCCATCTATTTCCAAAAGAAATGATTAGTTTGAACGAGAAGATGGTAGACAAGATCTTGATTCCTACAACAACATTAAAGTAGAGATGAATGACAATGTAATAGCTGAATTAGAATTGGGTTAATTATGAAAACAATAATTATTTCAAATGTTTTAGCTGTAACCCATAAATACAGTTAATAAATAGTTTTGATAGTTTGAGTAGAAATAATTAATAAGGTATTTCTTTCAATTTTTACCCATGCAACTCCTGTTGCAAGGTAATAAATCTTGACCTCAAAAAATTCCAGATCTTCAAATAAATTCTAGGAGATGTGTAAGTTTTAAAAACAAGCTCTTTGGAGTTTAATCAAGGATATACAATATGCATTTTACTAAAACAGAAGTTCTTAATATGAATGTATGCTTTTGGGTTGATTAATTGAATCAATAATAATATACATAATATAAAATCAAAAATTTAATTTATTATTTATAGCCAAAAATGGAAAGCATTCCAGATGGTGATTGGTATTGTTATGAATGCATAAGTAAGGTAAGATAAAATTTTAATTATGAAATGATAATTTTGAATAAAATTTCACAGAATGTTAATTAATTTTCTAGGTAACAGGAGAACGTGTGTGTGTTCTTTGTGGGAAAAAGGGCAAATTATTATCTTGTGATGGTTGCCCTAAAACATTTCATTTAAATTGCTTAGAACCTCCACTTTCAAAGTGAGTAAATCTATTGAAAATTAATGTTACATATTAGTAGATGCAAAATTTTTTATTATTCTTATGCTTGGCCAAAATGGCCAAGCTGCACTACACCAAATGGTATGTAAATAAATAATAGTCTTTGTGTCAAAAATCCATACAACCAATCAATATAAGTGGAAGAAGGCAAAGTTTATTGAAAGTAATACAAAATATTAGTGATATGCCGTGAGATTGAGGCATAGGCATGCAGGAAAAGTTTTTGGTTTTGATAATAACAAACAGAAAAAATAATGGTAGGATGATGGCATATGCCTATATATTGTTGCAAACTCACAAATTTGTATTGTGAAACAGCCCTTCACAAGCACAACCACCACTAAAATCAAATGAAAACGTTTGTGGATGCATATCTCACCTTACCCTGTAGCATCCATATGGTGTCACACTGTGTAGACTACAGCAGTGTTTGACAGTTGTATTAATCCTATAAGCAGTGTTACTGTTTCAGTACAATTTTATAAAACTTTGGAAATTGATAAAAATGTAATGATTTCAATATGCTATGAAATTCTGTGTTGGTACCACTTTTTAAAAAAAGGAGCTATTTTCAATACAAAATCTAAAGCTTGTGATCATGTAAAATTTATCATCGAAACAGTGCACTTTTATACTTTTCTACAATTCTTTTTTGAAGTTATGTTGCATTCTAGTGATTAGCTAATTAGTAACTTTTAGCTACTGATCACTAGTAGTGAAAAAAAAGAAAAGAAAAACTGGGAAATAAGTATATTTTATGTAATTCAAATAGTTGAATTGGTACAAATTAAGTAATACAGTGAAGTCTGCTTAAGAGAGTACCCTCAGGATTGCTGCAATATGCTCCCTTAACCAAAGTAACAAGATCATTCAGATCGTTGTTAATGATATTAGATCCTCACCATTCTTTCATATCTTAGAGAATGTGAATATGTACATACAAGAAAATTATGTGATTACATAATTTTCTTATGTACATATTCATATTCTTATACCATCAATTTTTTATCAGTAAGTACAGTATATTTACCAGTTACCTTACTTTAACTTCTTCCCAGAAATATAGGAGGAGTTCTAGCTGAAAAGATATGAACATCTTTGGGTCAAAATTTCTAAATGCTTTCTAATAGAATGTACAAATAATAAATAAATAAGTTGATTTTTATTTTAAAGTAAGGTCATGTGACCTCCTGAATCTGGTCTCTGGTCACTTCTAACTCTGTCTACTTGAGGTGAAGACATACATATGATCTGTGCTCTTTGTTAATGTACATTTTATGTTACTTTTTTTTAATATATAGAATAACTGCCTTTCATGTGTGAGAGATCTTTTGACTGCCCATTTATTAGAAAACTGACCATGGGAGATTATGTATACCATAATGTAAAGAACCTTGTTGCCGTGTGCATTAAGTGGTGTTGTGAGTATAAAGATAGATCTTTATAAATCTTCCTTAAAATAATGCTCCCTTATGCAGACTGCTGCTCTAAAAATGTAATATAATAAATGTATATAATATATAAAAATGTAATATAACAGCCACTTGGCACTAACTTCTACACTTAGCTATTTTTGGTGACACTCAATTATTGGCATTCACTACACTCAGGTTTACTTATAGACCCTTTGGGGGACTACGGCCTTGCAGTATAAAAACTGCATGCCAGCATGAAACATAGAGGGTACTGTGGCCATATGTACGCTGTTCAGAGGGATCCTACCTTTCACTACTGTCTATCTCCTCTCCCTCCTTCTTCCCCTTCCCTTTCCCTTACCCTCTTTCCTGCCGGCTAAACACTTCATTAGGGTTTCTCAAACGGGATTCCGGGATCCTGGTTGTTTTTTTAACCCGGGAAATTTTTCTTATCCAGGGAAATCCCGCAAATTTCTTAAAAATTCACTTTTTTTCTTATTTTGTGTTAAGGTTGAGGAATTTTGCAAATAGAAAGCATAATTAACTCATTCACTGTCAGAATACATTTGTATTTATTAATTTTAAACCTACCTATTAGTTTTTTTT